GGGGGGGGCAGCGTGAAATACAGACAGAAAGAGACACAAGGAAAGGAAGAAGATGAACATATGAACCTTAAGTTATAAGAATACCAAAAATTAAAGAAAACAATATGACGAAAGCAAGAAAAAAAAGTAGGGAAAAAAATATAAGTAACTTTTCCAAAGAAAATCTAATCAATAACTTACCAAGATGTCTCTGTGTTCTTCAATTCTTTCGATGAACTTGCCAAATTCACATAGAGATTGAGCTGAAACACAAAAAACAGACAATGTGAGGTGTTGCTCTTATAACTTAACAAAAAGAAATCAATATTCAAATTACGTGACTGGGTTATGCAACAATACAAAATTAACACTACCGTGCCCAGTAACAAAAGACTTCTTCTTTTTATTGAGAGGTAGCAAGGACAGCCAACAAGTGCAAAACAACACGGCATCCCCCGTGTGGAAAATCAGGAGCGGATAATATGATGTCTTTAGTTTAGTTTAGTATGGGGTTTTACGGGGCTTGCAACTGACTATGATGTCTCTGAGAACGAATTAGAACAAATAATTAATTGGAATTACAGTACTTTCATTCCGTACTAATGAAACGGGCGGAATGTAGTCAGAACATCGAGCCTGCCTGTCAAGGCCAGCCCAGGCTGAATAGGACACATAACTTTTTAAACAGACGGAGATACTCGATAAAATAACTTCGCAAAAACGGGAATCGAACTCACGACTTCTGCCAGCAAGGAATAAGAGCCTAATCATTACACCACAAACGTTAGTACCATTTATTAAATGCATCAGTTGGAAGTTCTGGAGACAACGTGGAGAATAAGTATGAGCAAAGCAGGAGAAGCAGACATAGACACAGTAACAGTCATTTACTGCGGAGGAGTTGGGGGGGGGGGGGGGGTATGAAGACAAGACGCACAGAGAGACACAACAAAGGGAAAGAAAAGAAGGACTTACAGCAGTAGCACCTTCCACCAACCCCACCCCCACCAACGTATAATGGTTTAGCCTGCAATATTTACCCCGGCACGTAAACACTTAGAACATTTACCAGCAACCTCTGCCTTTCAGTGAAATCAAATAGTGTTTCAGTTTCAGTTTAGTTTGAGCAAAGAAAAGCACATGGGTACGATAACGACCATCTTGTGTTTAGATTAGTTTTTAGTTTGAGTCAACAGTAGCTCGTCGACATGAAAATGGACATTGCGTGTAGGGGAAACAAATCAAATGAACAGGAACATGGAGAGAACAGAACGAGGACGTAGACTAGAAAAACACACTGGTGTGTGCTTAGGTGCGTTCGAGTGTGTGTGAGTGTGTGTGTGTGTGTGTGGGGGGAGAGAGAGAGAGAGAGAGAGAGAGAGAGAGATAGATAGATAGATAGATAGATAGATAGATAGATAGATAGATAGATAGATAGATGAAAAAAGTCTGTAGATGGATGACTTGTTAATGTTGTTGTGTGGTCGGTACCGCCTACTTCACTCAGTACTGCAAGCAACGCGTACTTAACCTTTCATTTTACTTGATAACTTCTTTACTGAAACTGCAGTGAGTTAAACGCTGACAACATAAACTTTCAGTCTCTAGTGTCTATTTTTAGCTCTCCGAAACTTGCACCAAAATGATATTATATCGCCAGGCGTTTGTGGTTTTTTTTTTTCTAAGCTTCTTTCCGAAATCTTAAGACGAAAACCCCGAAGAGCGTGTGTATAAGAAGCGGTCTTGGGTTCCTATTCTCGTGGTTTTTATATGTCATTTTCCCCTACGCTTCCCAGATTATTTCAGGATAAAGACATTTGAGATCATAATGGTTTTTGTGTCAGTGAGATACACTGACAACAGAATAGACTTTGGGGCATTGTGTAGAAAGAAAGGATCAG